AAGCAACACGAGATAACGATCGTGGCCGGCCGATGACAGGTCAGCGATGGAATGCGTACACACTGAGAGAAGGAAGACGGCCGTTATCTCAGTGTGAAAAACATTCCTGCAATGTTAATGACAAAATCGCCACCAATCCTCAGAGAACTCAGATAGATCAAACATTCATCTCTTCCTGCTTCTGAAAGCAATTAATATACCTAGATAATATAAGTGTTGAAAAAAGTTTGATTTCAAATAAGGAATTAGACATTCCCTTCTTTCTGAATGTGAAACATAATGCCTTTGCCTAGTGATGCAAGTCAATGCCGACAGCACGCGATTCAAAATCATTCTACGACATCGTTGCCAAATCAATCCGCTTCCCCAGCCTTCTGTCGTCGGCGATATGGACTGTTTATACCGAGCTGCCAGCGGTGTTTTCAACCACACCGGGCATAGTGCGACGGACATGTGGCAGCGAGCCAGGGGCAGAGCTCAGATGGATCTCGCTCAGAGCAGACCGTCACGCGACCCAGCAGCGGCAGAATCGGACTCTTATCGCGCACAGAGCCCGAGCTACGGCAATGCTTCGGTTCCTTGAAGCGTGATAGAGCTGGATTTCAACCGCTCATTTCTAATACGGTCGAGGTAATGACTAGCTATGAAGTTATCGAGCAATATAATCATAGGAGGCGGAACGGGGAGGGCACCGGAGCACCATGCCCCCCTTGATTATGGCTTTTTTACATTAGCCCTCCCTATGGGCGTTGCATGGAAAGAATGGGACCAAAAGCCGGCAGTGCCCCCCACCCCTTAATTCAAGGTGTTCCGCCGCTACTGAATATAATTGATTTTTTTTAGGAATCGAAGTGGGTCTATATTTTGTTCATTTATCAACGAAGCTCTCTCCAAGCAGAACATAAATCAGATTTAACATTAACATATAAATCAACATAACATATAAAGTATTTAACATTTAACATATAAAATATTAGACCAAAATAGCGATGCCTTAGTTCGAAAAAAGGCCTCCATAACTATTCGGATAAATATTTCTTAATCGATTTCACGAACAGGTAAAAAAATGCCTATAACGATAAATGAAAACACCCAGGATAGTGTCAGAAGTAACGATAACAGAAATGTGAGAGATTGAGAGACAGACGATACAGCAGTGAAAGAAAGGCTGCAACTAGCCCAGCTACGGTAAGTGAGAAGGTTGACTAACTACTGGCAGAGAAAAAGACTCCGGTCAGCACACTCGGTAATACTACCCTTTATTAGGCCGTTTAAGTCCGTACTCACCTTGGGACAACGGTCGAAGCGTCAATTCGCTTAGCGAAGGAGTGCTGCAATGACTTAAGCTATACAAGAGCTCGGCTTTTTATTTCGCTCAGGACATCAATGATCAACATGGATCGAGTTTCACGTCTTTGCATGGTGATACCGTGTAAGTGAACGCCTTTTAAGAAAAATGGCAAATAACTTGGCCAATTAATTATGTAGCTTTATTTTGAGCTCCAGGAGACTTGCGATGAACTTGCATATGGTCAATGGTGTAAAAATAACCGATGTTTCTAGTTATGTTTACTCTGACTGCACTGTCCGAAAGTTCGTGCAATGTAAGAGTGCACCGTACAAGGCCACTTGACTAACAATTAGCGAATGACTTCAGGATAATAGCTTCAAAGCTAGTGATGAATTACTTCTTTGTATAACTAATTTGCGTAAGTGGCGTTATATACATAATGCGTACCTACGCATAAACTAAACACGATGACTCTCTGGGAGACAAGTTTTGATGGAAATAAATAGAAATATAGACAAATATCGATGTCTGGAAGTAAATTCAGACCCAGAGGTTCTAGATGCCACAATTTGGAACGAAGTGAGGCCAAATTTGAGCAATAGGGACAGTTCAGCATTGCATCGTTACGGTCCAATTTATCCAATTAATACAGCAGCACTCCTTCGCTAAATGGTATCCCATCAATCGCCAACACAGGTGTTAGGCCAAGCACAAGCAGTGTCCAGTCAGTCCCCGTGCAGAGTTAGTCACACATGCGGAGAGAGAAAGAAGGTGTTACCATCGCTGAGCGCCAACCCAGCGCGCCGATCCCGAGAGCAGTGCCCGAGCGATACTACCCTCTAAAAGTCTGCACCGGTACGGTGAGGAAGACCGCGCCCAGGCCGCCGGTGAGCCGCGCAACTCCACTCTAACTCACCAGAGTTGTCGCCTTGTTTTCATCGTCCAGCAGGAACTCCATCGACTTGGCGCGGGAGTCGGACGTCGCAGACGACCTGCCCAGCTGTTCGGCTTCCTCCAGATTCAGCATACTCTTGGCCTTCTCCCTCGGTGGTGAGATCTCGTCGATGAACTGCTGTAAGCCGCGAACGATGGCGTCCAGGTCCGTCTCTTTACACGGCAGGTTCTCCTCGGCGTGTGTCCGCGCTGCCGGCACCTTGGGCCACGCCCTGGCCGCCAGCGAGGGACGTGCCGACCCTCTAGCCGGCCGCACAGTGGAAGTCGACTCTCCCCACTCGATCTCGTAGCTGTCATCGTGCCCGAAGGTGGTGACCTCCACCCGTCGCGGCCGCGGATCGGGGGACGGCGGCCGCACCAGCTGTTTGGTCGTCGTCTCGATCAGGCTGAGATCTGGGGTACTGAGTGCTAACCGCGCACGGTCCTCCTGTGCCTGACGCCTGAATCGCTCGAACGCCTCTCTCACGTCAGTGGCCGTGTCGCCGCTCGGGGCTGCGTCGGAGACCGGCGGGGGCAGCACAGGATGCGCGGTCGGTCCCCACGGCTGAGCACCGCCTGCTGCCGGGGACGCGCTCGATGTGCTCAGGAATTGGTGGCGCGCGCTACTGAGGCGTGCTCGTGTCACCTGACTGGCAGTGACACGCGGCGGCAGCGGCGGCTTGGAGATGGATTCCTCCGGCGCGCTGGTAGATTCACTCCCCGGAGGAGTGGGGACGGTGGCCGGTCGGTCCAGTCGCTCGGTCGCACGCTGTAGGGGAGACTGGAGTGGAGTCGCGGGCTCTGTCGAGCCTCCTCGTCTGGAGGTGTCCCATGTCCGGCCAACGGCGGCTGCTGCTGCAACTGCTGCCGCTTCCGCTGGTGACACGGCTCTCGCTGTCACCGAGGGGGCTGCCGGGGGCGCACTCATTCGAGTAGCATCAGACACCCCCGCCGCCACCGCCGCCCTCTCAGCCCTAGGACTGACAATCTCAGTCTCTCTCACCACCACACTGCTAACACCTGGAGACGGTGACCGACGAGAGACAGGACTGGCCCTCTCCTGACCCCCAGTCGCCCGCCGCCGGCTCCCTGACAGTCTGCCCAGTCCGAGTCGCTCCATCATCGTCCTGGGCCTCTCCGCTGCTGCTCTGGGCGCCGCCGGAGGAGTCGCCAGGCCGCCGTTGGTGCGTCGCTCCCGTCGCTCCATCTCAGCGGCGTCGGTGCGTGGCTGCGTCGTGTCGGCCGCGGCGCGCTCACACGTGACCACCTGTCGGCGCACGCCGGCGCCGTCTCCGCTGTCCACCGGGTAGGAGACACGGAGCCGGTGGGTCTCCACCGGCCGCGCCGACGCCGGGCGACTGTCTGTGCGTGGCGGGGGCTGCGGCGGTCCGGCCGCCGCTGAGGAGGGGGCGGGGCCCGCCGGCCGCAGATCGGCGTGCTGAGCGGGCAGCGGCGGCCGCGGCGGCGCGCTGCGCTCCTCTGGTGACGTGTCTGGGTCTCGTTCATCCCAAGCAGGAGACAGGCTACGTCCGTCAGTTGATTCCTCGTCTATGTATGTCTCACGCCAGCGAACTTCCGAGACGAGCGGGCTGAACTGGACACCTTTAACGCGGCCGGGAGCGGCGGGCGGAGGTTTACCGTCTTGTCGGTTAATGCGGACTTCCACGGCGCTCTGCGGACCGTACCGGCGAACAGAGCCATCCGAGCCGCTGATCAGACCGGGCAGACGGACAGTGTCCGGCGGCGCGGCGGACACGGCCACACGCGAGAAGAAGCCGCCCACAGAGCTCGTCTCGCCGGTGTCGGCCGGCTCCATACTAGTGTCCAGCCAGTCCGGGTAGCCCAGTCCGGGGCCGTGCAGTCGGGGAAGGTCGGAGGCCGGCGCCGGCGGCGCGGCCGGCTCCGGACGGCCCCAGGAGCGCGCCTCCTGCCGCGGCACAGTCATGTTCGCCTCGCACGAGCCGACCTCACGAACACTGCCGTCGAGCACACTGCCCGTCGGTTCCGGCGCGGCCGGCCCGTCCGCCACCACCGACAGGTCGCACTGACTGGGCGACTGCCTATTTCCAGGCGCCGCCGGGCCCGCCGCCGCCGGCGCCGCGATTGGCCGGTCGGCCGCCCCCGCCGCCGCCCCGGCTGCCGCGCCGGCCGCCCCCGCCCCCTCGGCCGGCCCCTCGCTGCGGATGTGACGCGCCCCGTCCGGTGAGAACACGAAAGCATCCGTTGCGAAACGCTCACCCTCCGCTCCCTCTAACAGGATAAATTCCTGCGCGGTCGCAATGTCGAGCGGTTTAGGACGACCCGCCGCCCGGCGGTGGATCATTAAAGGCTGGGGTTCGTTATTTGTCAGATAGATGTCGCGCGGTTCTTCGTCACGCACCGATTCATGAGCCAGGGAACCACCTCTGGACACGGCCGGGAGGGACCTGTCCTGCCATCTGCCGTCAAAGGCTGTAAGTTCACCTTTCTCCCCCGCGCCGGCCGGTCCGCTCACCCCTGGGCCGATGACGGCCCGTCGGACCGTCACCGGCGCGTCACTCACACCATCGTCAGCCGCGTCACCGCAGTCACCCGCGTCACGGTCGAGCGGCGTGTCGGTCGTGGCGCGTGCAATCCCACGCGTCGTCGGCGTCGGTCGCGCCGCCACCGCGCCAGCGCGCTGCCCACTGCACATACCTGAGTCAGCCGGGGGACCGGGGTCCGGGGACGGAGCCGGGTCCGGGGCCGGGGCCGGAGCTGGGTCCGGGCCGCGGCCGGCGCCGGAGCTGCCGTTTACCTGTGTGGTGCGGCGTACAGCCTCCTTGCCGTCACCAGCCGCCAGCGCTGCCAGCCAGGCGTTGGGCGGCACGTTCTGATACACGGCCGCCGGTTTGGGCGGGGCGGAGCGCGGCGCCGGTACAGGGCGCTCCTTGGACACCCCAGCCGCCGTCTCCAGACTGAGCTGCCGCCGGGGGACCGTCGGCTGGGCCGCGGCGTCCAGCCCGGCGGCGTCCCGGGCGTCGGACGCCGCGGCGTCCAGGTACACCCGCGCCCGACGCCGCTCGTCGCGTCCGATGAGCTCGAGCAGTCGGCGGCGGCGCTGGGCGCTCGGGCTCAGGTCCGGTGTGGACTGAGACCGGCGGCTGAGCCGGCTGGGCGCCGTCTCCGGCTGACCTGAGCTCTCCTCTCGTGGTGTGGTGAGAGACAGGCTCGGCGGCGGTGAGCTGGCCTCAGAGGAGCTGCGCGCCCCCACCGTCTGCTCACCGAACCCAGAGTCCTCGCTGAGGTTCTCACTGGAGTGGCGCAGGAGCTCGACACGCGCGTGCGGCCGCGGCACGGTCGTCTCTGGAGTACTGATGTTCGTCTGCTGCGCTGCGCCGAGTTCGAGTCGCCGTCGATTTGAGTCGTTTTGGTGGCGCCGCGTCGCGCGGCCGGCCGCTCGGAGCGGGCATCATCACCGATCATGGTCAGGTCACCGGAGCTATGGAAGCGCCTTACCGGCTCACAGAGCTGGTTTGGCTCCTCAGTAGACGCCTGTCTGGAGCTGGAGAGCCGCTGGTAGCGCCGCCGCTGCACGTCTGTAGCCGACTCCAGGCTCTCCAAAGTCTGTAGCGTCCTCTCCTCCTCCTCAAAGTCGAACGTCAAAGACTCGATCCGACGGTCCAGGTTCTCAAAGTCCTCACAGCTGCCCAGGTCCCACTTGGGGTCGGCGGCGGTCGGCACGCGTCCGTCCGCCGTCGCCTTGGGCACCTCAGTGCCACCGCGCGCGCCGGTGGGTGTTGATGTCACCGCCGCGCGCTCAGAACTGACGGCGCACCTTTCCGCTGTGCTGGCCGCCAATTGAGCGTTGTGTGCCGCTCCCAAACCCCCGGTCGTTGGGTCGTGACCGATGGCCGGCGCGTCGCTCCCACCGCCGGTGACCGAGCGCGGCGTGGGAGCCGGCCGCTCCGGTGACCTCCGGTGACCCTGCGGTGACACGGGCCGGCCGCCGGTCACTGGGCGGTCGTCCCGTCCGTCAGACGGCTCAGCGAGGGTCACCGGCAGACCGATACGGCCGCCAAAGGTGCCAGGGTCGCTGTGCCGCCGACCGCCGGGGCCGGCGCAGCTCAGTTCCGCACTGATTGGTTCATTGTCCACGCGCCAGTGGTGGCCTCGGAAGTCACTGTGCGACAGCGGCGCCATCTGCGACAGCAGTTCGGGAGACTGACGCCAGGCGGCGCTGGTGGTGGCGGCCAGCGGCCGGGCTGGCGGCAGTTCGCTGAACAGTGGTGCTCCGACACAGGACTTGGTGAGCGGCTGGTCCCAGCTCATCAGTCCACCGCGGCCGAGTCCGTCTGCCTCCAGCAGCTCGTCACCGGCTGAGGCCCGCCGCACTCGTGGCTTCGGCTCGCACTCCTCTGAAAAGGACAAAACGATCGTGTCAAACTCTTATTCAACATCAAAGTTCAGCTACTGAAACGGGTGTTGTAATGTGACAATTTACTATAATTATGTGTTTTTGTTAAGCGCTTATTTAACTGAACTCAGATTGAGCTAATCATGCAGAGTGGCTTATAAGGGAGGAGGTAGTGAATTCACTGTGATAAGCACTGCTCGGGCAATGTACGAACATGAAACATAACGGTCAATCATTCTGTCAGATTACTTCAAACACCACCATTATGCAACAACCGGACAATTTCACTGCACAATAATTCTATCACCACCTGCCAACACGGACATTTTTCTAAATCGCCGATAGCAATCTCCTAGATCTATCTCCCATCACTGTAAAAAGCCGTCTCCGTTGTCCGTTCGTTACTCTGCCTCAGTGGGAAGTATGGCTGGTAGCTATAGCCCCCAGTCACGACCGGGCAATCCTCGACCGCGTACGATAGGCAGCGTTCAACAGTGGCACGTTCCTGCCCAGTTCGTGCGCCGTGAGCATTACACCGACCGGTGATTTGCCGTGTGGCGAATTCCTGACAGCCATTCAGTGGCGCGGGAACCGGGGGGGCTAGGGGGGGCTGAGCCCCTCCAACTTTTCGGCTGGGGGGGCTCGTAATGTATTTGAGCCCCCCCCCCCAGCTGGAGGAATCGAAATCGGAAATCTACCAACACAATTTCATAGATTCATACATAGGCGCGAGAAAGTAATCTTGGGCGCGGGAACCGGGGGAGAGGGCAGTGGGGGAAGCTTGCCCTCACAACTCTGGGGCCGTGGGGGCGGTGCCTCACATCTTTTTATGAGGCCAGGAACCGTTGGGGCAGCTTGTCCTCCCCAAATTAGGGGTTGTGAGTCACAAAGAAAGAAAGCATGTAAGTGAAAAAATCTACCTATTTTACTGACTCGGCAACTCATTTGGCAGCTTAAAACCTTTATTCCAGGTTGCCAAAACGGTAGTTTCTTCACTCAGCTGAGACGGAATACCTATCTCACTTTTTTGCAAATATTTTCTTCTTTTTTTTTCGTTGAAAAGGCCAAGGTCTGAAAAATAAGTGGCCTAAAACCGATGAGAAAACTAGATTTGGGGGTACCCTAGGTTGATCTCTATGATGGTTCAGCCCCCCCAGTCTGGAAGAAGTTCCCACGCCACTGCAGCCATTCACCCGAACTATCCCCGAGTGTTCTGCTGCTCTCACGGTGCTTAGATCAGGGGTACGTCTCGGCAGTGAACTCATAAAGCCAGTCTAATAGCAGGTTGGGTGCTGTTTGAGCTTATCGGCAAATGTAATAGCCTAATAGGGATCGCACATGTTATATCACTGATCGTCACGAATGTTGACTGTGATAGCTGGGTGTGTTCTCATGTGTCATAATATTTTGCGGCAGGTACCTTGCACTGACCCGAACGCAAGACACCGACTGTTACCAGTGGACCTGCGGCGAGCCGCCGCTCCGGGCGGACGAGGCCGGCGCCGTATCCGTTTTTCCGTTTTTACTTCTGCGGCGTTCAGTGGCCGCCGCTGGCCTTGGTTCCAGCGGCACCGCAGCAGACACCTGTCCCTTCTGAGAACCGGTCCTCGCACTGGCCGTTATTTACCGGGCCCGCAGCGCGGAGCAGTGCCGCCGGGCCACTACATAAAATGCATGAGCGTCATACTCAACAACGTCAGATTCTCGGAAGGCGCTGTATAACGCTGCATAATCAGGCCCGGTGTATTCAGATCACCCGATCGGCGGGTATTTGCAGGCCAATAACGTCAGCAATGTATCGCCAGGGGCAGTCTGCTGCCGAGGAAAAACCACATCGATACAGGACGGACAATAATTCCCGCACAGCAGACCTGCTGTGAAAACAGAGCATTAATGGCATACGACGCATTGTGATGGTGAGTCCAATAGCTTAATCGGAGTTTAAATCGATGGTGAATTCTTTGAGCGGTTTATATAAATCGCATGTTTAAAGAATATATAAAAATAAATTACAGCTGACCAACGAGACTATCTGGATCTAAAGCGGAGCAAGAAATGTGTAAGCTCCAGGTAACGTCACCTTCCGCGACGGTAAAAATCAAGGTGCGTCACTTCTCTACATTCTCCCCCCCCCCCACCCCCCACCCCCTCCGCCGTGCCCGTGACAATGGGGTGGCTGCGCACCTGCCACTGTCGTCATTACTCCGTGGGGTCACCTATAGGTCAGATGGCCCCACTTCCGTCGCTCGCGCCGTGACCGTTACGCACAGTAACGCGCGCCGTCCGTGACGAATAGTGACGTGTTAACAATACCGACCACGTGACGGATTGCAACACTCGTGTGCAATGCGCACACAGACACACACAGACACGCACGTATCAAAACAGCGGTGCGCCACTTCAAACTGTGGCGCACCGCGACGGAGTAAAGTGACTCTTCCACGACTCCTCGCACCAAACCTTGGACGTCCGGGTCGCGTCGGTCTGAGAAATCGCCGTCTGGAGGTACTGACACCTAATTAAAGCCGTACACCACCCTTGGACGCTATAGCGGGACACGCTGTGTGGTGACAATGGACCCAAGCACCACGCCGTGACAGCCCGCCCTCGTCCTAAAGCCGACCTAAAACGCCTCGAGCCGTTACTCCACAATCTGTCGCCCTCAAAACATCCCCACCAGGGTGAAGGGCGCCCCCCCCCCCCACTACCACCACACGTCAACAGAAGGTTGCACACCCGGGCACTCACTCGCTCAATCCTCGCGCCCTTGCAATTCTCGTTTGCGCAACGGATCTGTCACTGCTGACACCCGCCCCATCAGCGACGTCACCGCGGCGTCTGACGTGATGTGGTGACGTGGCTGATGCGTGGGCGGAGTGACGTGGTGGTGTGTATAGTGCAGTGCAGGCTCTGAGGGTGTGTTATTGCCGCCGACGAAATGGCCCGCATCGCCCAGCTGTTATATGCAGAGGAGATGCCCTGCGACCTACGGCATTACTGCTTGCCTGCTAGGTTTGTTTGAAATCGTGGATATGTCTGCCCTTGGTTGTTTATTGGGGGGTTCCAGGACGTCCCGACTGCTGTGGTCATTTTGCGTCCACTGCAGATTGCTTTCAATTTCCGACCGTCTAAATTATGTCATCGTGTCCGTATCCTGTTTCCGTCCAATCTTCAGTTCATATGTTTATAGTTCCCAGCCCATTTCCGTTTCATTTTAGTAATGCTTGTTTGTCCATGCACCCTTCCTGCCAGCCCTCTACTTTCTCTCTCCCTTTTCCTGACCTAGCTCAGTTCAACCCTTCTCCTCCCGTCCGCTTCGTCCCAGCCATCCCATCCTCTCCTCCCCACCTGCCACTCCTTTCTCTCCACACCATATAACGGACCCTTTATGCTACCAGCCGGGCGGCAGGGCCATCGGTTCAGGAAGTAGCGGTACCACACTACCCTCTCGACAATCGACACCTGAGCCCATACAGCGTAACGGGGACATCTGCAGGCCCTGTAGAGTGTAGACATCTCCTCTATGACCTGTTTTGGGTGATTTTAGGCCCAACATCTAGACTATTATTACTTATCAGCAAACGTCACACTCACAGCCACGTCAGACATCAGACGGGCAACGTCAAACGTCAAGACGGATCACATCACACTTTACACCTCAGAAGCGCCGTGTGAGTGTCCTACGTCACGCCGCTACATCAGACATCAAATCATGGCGACATCACCGGGCCACGTCAGGCCGCCAAAGTTGGAGTGATCAGTTGCCGGTTATGGCAGAACTCTACAGAAAAGGAGCGTGTTCCAAAGCTGGCCCGGGGCCGATCGCCCACGCTTCTGCCGCAATCACAGGGCTGGCGGTCCTCAACTGTCGTCGTCGGGATGTTCTAGGAAGAGGGACGTATCGGTAGAGGACGAGTGAATAAAGAGGAGAGGCGAGCCCGCGAGCGAAAGTAAGAAAAAGAGAGAGAGAGAGAGAGAGAGAGAGAGAGAGAGAGAGAGAGAGAGAGAGAGAGAGAGAGAAAAAAAAACAGAAAGGGAAGGGAGAGACGGAGAAAGAAAGGGTGATAGGGAGAAAGCAAAAGGAAAAGACCACATTAGCGGGATCTGAGATTCTCCCTGATCTGATGCGATCTATCCAGTAAGCCTCAGACACAACCTGACGGCTTACAAAGCGCAGTCCGGCGCTAACAACGGAGAAACAGCGAGCTCAACCCAAACACCAGCGTGATAAACTCTATTATCTTCCTCAGAGAACATAGCTGGCAAGTCGCATCGCGCCCGCCTTCTGCAGGCACAAACATTGCAAGTCACCTAACAAAAACCTCTCCCGGGCGCCCCCCTCCGACACCCTCTGCGCGTCCCTCCATATGTGGCCGGGTCACCTCCCAGCAGTGGTCGTCACGACTGCTATGGACAGGGGCGTCGGCTGGTGCCGACCCCGTTAGTAGACGGGTCACGACCCACACCCACTGCAGACGCAACAGACGAGCTCGGCCGGCCGGCAGTGGCGCAGTAGACCGGTCGGTGCCAGCCGCGTGGGTGTGTAGTGCTATGAGCGCTGTTGTACTGGCACCAATACCGGCACCGACCCAAACTGATAAAAGGTGCTGCAATGCTATTTACGGCATTTGTCAACATACGCACTGCAGCACCTATACCAGTGTTGGCAAACGCGTATCCGAATCATCCGAATCAACAAAACGATTCGGGGCCGTCAATATATGGACTGAAATGTGTAAAAAAACATTCAATTTAGTAGCCGTTTTCGGCAGCTGAAATTCAGCCAGTGCTGTCATATCCATTCCACGGAATTTATAAGATTGGATTCAGTTGCCTGGTTTCCCAGTGGTATCCACTCTACCACACACCGGGCAAGGCCCGAACGGTCCAGGCAGAGCCTCCATGTGAACAGACCGTCGACGATACCGCCGCGGGCAGTGTCCCGAGGCCAGGAGGGTGGCGGCCACCGAACTGTGCCGTGCACTGGTCTGCTACAGACCGGTCAGCCGGCGGAGGGGTGGACGGCATTATGAATGCAACAGCGCGGGTCGCCCGGGAAGAGGCCATGGGCCTTGGAAGGATCCGGACCGGCCTTTCCACTTGTTGCCCTCTAGTGCGGGTTTTAACTTCTCATAGTTATTTGTTACGAGGCAGTTGGTGAGGATGCAAAGGTTGTATGAATTTTGTAACACGCTAGAAGTACGAGTAGACGGCTTTGTTTGGCCTTCGCTGAGCCTCTTGCTTTCGGCAGGCTTTAGCGCATCCACTTGCAGACGCATCATTAACCCGCCCGAATTCCCAATATTCGCAACCATGTCGCGATATTCCTAGAAACGCCCCCTCTCCCCCCCCCCCCACACACACACACAATACTACACATCAACAGTCAACAGCTATACCAAATACCAATCCCACTTTCCCCATCCAAACCGTGCCCATTTTGCAGCCCTCACTGACAACTCCCGGGCCATGACACAACGCTCGCGCGTCACAGGGTCGCTCGGTGACCCGTGACGCGGGGCGGACACATGACGGGACGTTACGTGACGGAATGGGTGGTGACGTGACGGCTCTATTGACCGTCACGCTCGTCACGCTGCCGATGCCAAAGTGTTCTGTCCGCGAGATACCACGCCGGGAGTTGTAATGGCGTTGTCAGATCGGGCCGTCCCAGCCATGACGGTATGACGTTTTGACATGGCTGCTTTGATGTCGGAAAGCAGCGAGTGTACGGTCACCTGACACCTGTTTTGGTATCACGTTAGCGATCAATGTAAGGATAATTTGTGGTTATTTTCTGGTTTCTCTGACAGCTACTATCATCGCCATCTAATAGATGGTCAGCGACCCAATTACAACCTAACCAGCTAGAATTTTGTTGTGCCTTAGTCCGTAAATCATAACTGATAACACTGATCAGAACTGTCAAGACAGATCAACAAATAACAACTCAAGAAACATAGAATGAAAGACAAAATAACTGTCGATCATTTACTGATAATCAGAGCATCGCGGATGTATTTATTGGGTCCAGAGCCAAGCATCAATTCATCTTGACAAAGCAAGCATACCTAGCATTCGCTTCAAGACAGTACATTTAACGTGCGCTAAACCATGAACTGCCTTATACTAGTATAAACCGCTGCACATGTCTTTCGGGACATCTTGATCTGAGTGCCGTCCACCCAGTTCCCCCCCCCCCCCTGCATCGACTCGTGCAGGCAGCTCGTGACATGGCAGGGGAAGGGGAGGGGAGGGCGGAGAGAGACAGGGAACTTTCACAATGCACTCCTCACTCCAGCTGAACGTGCACTGTGCCCCACCCACGCGTCAGGAACGTCGTCCACGTATGACGTAACCAGTGCAATGTCTCGTTAAATGTGGCCACCGAGGCATGACTTCCGGACTGGCAGTCAAATTAGGAGTGCATTTATCAGTTGGCAGTCCGCAGACGTCACTTTAGCCTTGTAAGCTGTACTCCATGCATCGCACGAGGTATTCTGCGACAGTTTTGATGAATCGAGGCACGGAGCGAGCTGACTTGCACGCAATTTTAAATAGGGACAATCAACATTTCTTTGATCGCTAGAAATAAACGTTGGGTATTTGCCATGCTAAGGCAAAGTGACGAGCCACCGGTGTCCAAGAGCGGTGTCCTGTATATTTATACGACCCGCAATGCCGCCGCCGGTGGTCAAAACAAAGTCAGCTGGCGTGCATACTATAACTAGGCTGCCACTTTGAGAGTCTCGTGAGAATATTCAACGCTAGGTAGCTCTATCCATAGGAGATAGCCAAATCGAGTGTTGACAATGTGGTTTTACAGACATAACAATGCCAGTTTCCATGCACACAAGCTGATGAATCACTCAGCAAATTGCTGAAGCCAAATAGTGACCTTGCACTTCATGCTTACCTAATGCCAAATAATTACTTCGTGCACAACATGCCTTCCTACCTATCCGGCATGCCTTAATGCTTTGGTATTGCCTGTTGAAAAATGTAATTTCAGGGCTAAGGCGTCGAATTAAATTACTGGATTAATGCTGTCATTGTTATAGAGGCATAAAGCACCAATAATGTTTTCAATGCGCAATAAGACTTCGCCAGAAATTAGGTGATGTCTTTTGCCTCAAATATGGCTTCGCTCTTTCCTGCCATTGACAGCCATTATCCTCATTTAACAGGTCGTTTTCCCTGTCTTTCCCACACCCAGCCATCGACGACCATTGACTGGTTTGACTGACCCACTAAGCCACACCACTCGAGGTGCTCCTGACGACCTTTTGGGCCCTGCCTTCCTGAAGTTCTCAGCCCCCAAATAACCTGGACGGTGTAATTACATCCCTAACGCACTTAGCAGATCGAGGTCTTCATGAACTTCATGACATGATCGGAAATACTGTCTGACCAGTAACATTCTAGACCACGAGCCGAAGAATGCGTCTAGTCCGTCATGGTAGCCCAGTTATAAGTAACGCGTGTAACATTCCTCGATACCTTCTTGTTTGCATCTCCGGTGACTTGTTTTCGATGCCCACCCCTCTCTGCTGCTCATTGTCATTCTAGGCAACCCTCGTGACGCTCAGCACAATCTCTCTACTCTGCAATCTAGCTCGCCCCTCATGGACAACTGGTTCTAAAGTTTCCTATCTAGGCCCCTCCTCCCGTCTAGAACCCTCCCGATGACAGTGCTGAGATGTTTGGACATAACCTTCATCAATTATTCAATAATACCTTTTAAGTATTCGTCTGTCGTTCTTTCAACACTAATGGCCCAAGTTCGGAACGCTATTTCTTTCTTAGCATCTTCAAATGTTGCAAGCGATCTGTCCTTCTGCCAGGGAGCACCTGCAGTGCCCCGCGCCGGTCATGCCAACATTCTGACCCCAAATCATCGACATTTAGTTCACACCAGTGATACTGACCTGATCTCCAGTCATCTTTACACAATCCGCGCCAGGATACCAGTGATAGTTACTGGCCTTCTCACCCCCTGGTCATTGATATAGAGCATATTTTGGTACACGGGATATTACGCCCCACTGATATTATCGCCACCCGTGATACTGACCTTCTGAGCCCCAGTCGTCGGCGGCGCCGGTCGAGTCGGACGGCTCCAGGCACCAGGTCCAGCCCGGCGGGCCGGCGGTCAGTGCAGACGGAGAGGTAGTCCCGTCCTGGCCGTCCGAGTCCTCAGACCAGTCCCGGCTGGCCGGACCAGAGCGCAAGCTGTCGCTGTCGCTGCGCATATCGTCTGGGGAGAGAGGAAGACCGGCGGTCAGGTCGTGCTGAGTCACTCACGGTCATGACTCATGAGTCATGGGCGTGAAATTATAACCAGTCGGCAATCACGACCTGAGTACTGTCGCGCACCGTCCCAACAAAGGTATATTTGTGTGGTTCTGAGTCAACGTATACGGTAAAACAACATGTCACGAATCACAATCGTGAGTACAGTGTACTTTAGAGTTAACAAAAATAAGGCGCCCTCATTTTCAAAGGCACATACGAACCACAAGTATCAACCTAGAACGCTTGGAACTATATATGCTCCATTGAACACCTATGTAAGCACCTTAGCCCTTAAGTGAACCCGAATCTCATTAGTCACGGGGCGCACATTCACGACCGCCGTAGCGTAGCGCGCAGGCCGCAGGGTGAAGGGCAGCGCTCGTGAAGGTGCCCTTCCACCGCGCCGCGCTGCCGTGAGTCTTCCAGGGGCGGAGTGGAGCGTCGGACGCTGACCAGCACGCTCAGCGCCAGGCTAGCCATGACCAGTCTCTCACGGGGACACAGAGATTGTCGTTTCACGATCATTAACTCGGCGGTTACCGCGGTCGTTAGCCTGCTCTTGTCAAATTGGAGTCCTGATTGTGTGGGAAGTTTAATATGGGAATGCTCGCGGCGAGCGCCATGACCACTCGAAACAGCGGCGGAACAGGAAGTATCCATGACTCACGATGCATGGCGAGGCGAAATGCTTAGCAAAGCGACGTTCGAAGTTTTGCGGGGTTAAGTAATTACGCATATGTCGGAACGCCAATTCCATTACACTATTTGAATTGCTGTGTCATCTTGCGATTAAATTTGCCGTCAGTTAACTATGTAAGTACCTATTCACATATATAGAGGCGTAGCAGCTGCAGCATTGCATGAAGCACTTGCCAACCATTGATATAATCAAAATGTATCCTGCACAACAACTGCTTAAAATGACAAATTGTTTGCCTTTTGAGATCCTTTAACTTTCTTTACAACGGTGCAGGCGATAATATGCCACCAATACAATCATCCTCAAATGAGAAAAGGTTTTTAGAGTCAAATGAGAATCGTTCGTGCCACGAACGACTCATGATAGAAAATTGAAAAGCTATCGGGATGGGCTCCGTCAGAAGCGTGGGTTTTCAATTAATTTCACTGAAAGGTCAGAGGAATTTCAGGAATATCGAATGTCAGTTTGACTACATGAATAAATTAAAGCTCCATATGTAGAAGAAATTAAGTACGAGAATGTTCGAGACATTTCGTAATCGAAGCATGCATGAAAAGTGGTGAAGATATTTCACCAGCAGGAACAAGGTGGAACCGAAGAAATGGAGGCGGGGGTGGAGCGGGGCGGGAGTGGGAGTGGAAGCGGGGCGGAGGCTCCATCGGCACACATCCCAGACAGGAGTGGTTCCCACCATTTCCGGTGTCGGTGACGGCTCCTCCTTCCTTGAGGATCCCCCAAACATTCACGTCATCGTCCCTTCTCAACCAACAATTTTTTCACTACCGGGTGCGCCAAGGAAGGCCTCAATTCCTTCATGTCACAAGTCCAAGTCTGTGTTACTCGCTCTTCTTCCAGACGACCTACCGCAGTCGCCGCGTTGCTTTCTCGTAATGATCGACACATTGCTGGGCAGTGGGCACGACCAGCTCCGGCGCGTACCGGGCGTAGCCACCGTTCGACACGAGTTGTTCCGGCGGCGGGCTGGCGCCGCGGAGCCGCTGTTTTGGCCGAGCGGAGCGCCGTGTCTCGGCTCCGTCACGCCGGATCGAGCTGCGTGCCGCCGACACAGCCGGCAGCCGCCGCGCCGAGACGCGCCGCCTGATCGCCACAAATGCGCCAGTCATCGCCGCAACAGCGTGCGTGAGGAGCAATACGGCGGCGTCGCATCTACAATGTTTTTTGTGGGCTGTTTTGCAGCTCTTTAAGCGCAGTCTCCTCTCTCCTACCGCAGTTTCGTCCCACACGCGTTGGTCGGCGGACTGCTGCGTCGAACGGATATAATCGCTGGCGATTCGGATTTGACGCATGGCTTCCCTCGCCGCATGACGGAGCAAATGGATTAGCAAACGGCTTCAACCGAGCATGACCGACCGGCTGGAGGTAACGGGCGACCGACCGGGCAGGTCCAGCAGAGGTCGGTGGGAAACCCGACACGCCAGCACCCGGTAGAAAGGTCGATGAGCTAAAAATGTGCGCTAAATTGGTGGCGTGATGCTGAATTGTGACATGTTTGACCTTTTGCCTGACATGACACGCATCCCTATAAGGAACAGTTTCTCCTTGTGACCCAGCCTAGCCTCAAGGCTCATTTGACCTTCTCCTGCCATCACTGGGCCTTGACATGACCACTCGTGTGACCCCCTTCCCATGTCCAACTCATATGATACATATGTAACTCGCCTCGCGTGCTCCGAAAACACCACAGGCGGTCCTCTGTAACATTGGCATGACCTCATTGTTCCATGTTATACATAATATAGTCCGAAGGAATGCTGGTAGGTATTTTTAGCCGCATCAGGCCAGGCGGGAATATGCAATTCCTGGCTCACGTCACAAGCAATCTCATCCTGTAACAAGCCTGTTACCAACTTCACGTCGCTAGTGCGTACATCAAACGCTCTGATCAGCCTTTTGATGTCGCTATTGCATCGGATCACATCCTCCGGTGCAGCCCCAGAGCTTCCAATCAAGAGCTTCCGCTAGACTGCCAGAGCGTGCAGCTTTGTCGGCAGCTACAGGCCAAACGGATATGAGCATTCGTACAATAGGTTTGTGGACCGACTTTGCCATGCTGAGGTCGACGGCAACTCGCGGCACGGGTCTCTCAGGCTGGGCGTGGGGCCGGTAGCGGTACAGGTCACTCAGGATGAGGTCGGTGGCGGCACGGGTCACTCGAGTTCCAACGAGGCTTTGTCCGTCTGTCAGTGCTGAACATTAGAGTCATTGGGGATTTATGGCAGTCGATAACGACATGAGCTAGGGTTCGATAGATGGGCCATACAACGGGGCTGTGAAACGGGACGCGGCCGTCGTAACTTACGTGTAGCCGGTTAGGAACTTCGTGGGGTTATTGGGTCCATGGGGTTGGATAGTGGACAGGGGCGCGGGAACTACTTTCCGACTGGGGGGGCACACCATAATAGAGATCAACCTAGGGTACCCCCAAATCTAGTTTTCTCACCAGTTTTAGGCCACTTATTTTCCACCCCTCGGCTTTTTCAACAAAAAAAGAAAACATTTGCAAAAAAAGTGTGGTATTCCGTCTCAAAGCTGTGGGGGCACCGCCCCCACGGCCCCAGAGTTGGGGGGGGGGCAAGCTGCCCCCACTGCCCCCCCGGGCTCCCGCGCCTATGATAGTGGATACCTTCTTGAATCAACAGACACAAAACAATGAGTCTCATCCAACTTAGCAAGTCTGTCATCGCTAATCGCTATCCAATTTTTAATCATGTTACTGGTGATGATTCTTGATTGGATTAGTAATCAATTCGGACCTTTTAACCCTCGCCCGCACATGCCATTTTCCCATCCTAGAACGCACATGGGGGGGGGGGGTGGTTGCCACCCCCCCCCCGCGCCATTTCGTTCCTGTTGGAGATAGAGCTTAGCAGTAAAGACCAAAAAGATTCTTTGGGAAAAGACGAATCCAATGATACCCAGTTTTACCTTCTCAGGTCAGTCATTGACCTTCCAGGTCAGGTCAAACTAAAAAATGTTGCTGTTTTGGGTCACCGTTGGATATCAAGTGCGCTGCCTATCAAATACCGATGACGATGCTGTTTTCTGGTGCCAAGCCAGCTAGAACCTCTTTGTCACACTATCCGACCAGAATTTTGCTGCTGAGGTCATTTCAGGTCAAGTTAGGTCAAGGTCAATTATATGTTTTTGTATGTCTGTGTGTGTCTGTGTGTATACTGATGTGTGCACCGATTGTTTTTGGGTCCATATCACATGAAATCATGATCTGAGAAGCTTTTACCAAAAATGCAGTCAAAAAACTTCACAAAAAGTAAATTCAGCTTGCCTAAAACGCAATTATCTTAGATGACCTAGGTTGACCTTGACCCTGACCTTGACCCCTGTACATCGTCGAACAACATGTTCCATGATAGGTGGGAGGTAAGACTGGCAAAAAAGGCCGAAATCAGGGTGTCAAAAGCTCACAAGGCCCATGGCAAACGCAAGATGTTGAGAATTGGCCATTTGGGTCATGACATGACCTAAAAAACAAGGTCATATCTCCGAAACCAAAAATCACAGAAACTTGAAATTTTCAGTGGACATCAAGAAAGGATAGACGAGCAGCTATACGAAAAATCAGCCTTCTAGCTTTAAAAATGTTGAGTGCAGAGCAGAAAGACTGCCTGGGGGGTGGCAACCACCCCCCCCCCCCATGTGCGGGCGAGGGTTAAAGAAAGCCCGATACAAAACATAGACATACATTAGCATGCATCACATTTTCTAAAACATTGCGACAGTAGAGTTACAAGACTCACCGGAATTCTCTTCGACGATGGTCTCCAGGCAGCTGTAGCCTTCGATGAAGTCTGGCTCCGAGCCCAGGTCTCCGGCCAGGTGGAACATGGCGGCGGGCCGGCGACCCGGCTCGGCCGAGCCCGCCTCTTCATAGAACGGCTGCAGGTCGGCAGTGGCAACTGCAACAGCCGGGAAATAGGGTTAAGAAGACGGTGACCGATGAGCATATTTCCTCTTATGGAGTAGGTCTGATTACCAAAAATGGTGAATTCAATAAAAAAATATTCGTATAAGCATCGAAATAATTAAATAGGTACACATCAACAGAAACAACATGATACCGGACCGGACACCTACTGCACTGTAGGTGCACTGTAGCTACCGGACACCTTCTGCACTGATGCACTCTTGACATCTAGCCACAAATGCAACACGGTGTGTTACTCATCTCTGAGAATGTAGCAACCAGCTGAAATGTGCTCCAAGTGACAACAAGCACGCTGAAGAACCGTTGAGACAAGTGTCGAGCACAGCGAACAAAAACAAGGCTCGTTACGATGACGTCGAGTGACACACAGCACAGCCTCCTCGAATGATGACAAGTGACGCCTGACGGGTGCTAGTGATGTGACGAGCTGACACTGCAGCGGAGGGGCGCGGCGGGGAGCAGGTCGAACCGACACAGTCGAAAGCGGCGTCCGATTGGGGTCAACAGGGTGAGAACTGGGGGCCCTGGTGAGAACTGGGGGCGGGCGGTGTCACTTCCGATCGTCGGTCGTTGCGGCGGCGGCGCAGATCCCACGGTGTTCGTGGGACGCGAGCTGTTTGGTGGCGGTTGTGGCTAGGGTGTCATGAAGAGCGATGATTCGCCTTGTGTGGATTGAATAAAGGGAAGTTCTAGCTTGGCTGGCTGCGAGGTGAACGCTCATTTGCATAGCGACTGAGCCCCATGCAATGGCAAATCTCCAGCCATGACAGACACAGTGTTGACTCACGAGACCAGTGATAACCAATAGTGAATATCAAACACATCGCGGTATGTGCACCTAAAGTGGGTACCAATCATTGGCATTAATGCCTTCGGAAAGGGTGTTAAGTCATAACTGAGCTGATAAAGCAACTATGTCGCATTTTTTATATAACTGACTTGCACGAAATAGCTGGCATTATACATACGGGAATGACGGGGTATTGTCCTTATTGGCGGATGCTGACCTGAATACAAACTGTTAATAACTGTTAATCATTTCATCATACGTCGAAGTCGAAAGTAAAGCTGCATTCAAGGCGAATAAGGCATTTTCTGGTTTGACCACTAGATAAACAATACGTTGTCATCATAATCAGCCCAACCGTTGGCATATAGGACGATTATGTATGTATGAGCAAATGTGGCTTTAAAGCCATATGAAGCCGGACACAACATTATAACATTGGATAGCGAAACATTGAATCTTAGCACGGTTGTGAGAAACATCAAATAAATGTGATGAGCGAAGAAGGAGAGACAAAGATAGAAGAACTCTTCCCTACAGACGCTTTTACAATAGTCTATTCATGAAAATAATCAAATGAATTGAATCACAACACAATTACCAAGATCAACAACTGTGTCATTTTTCCATTAGCCAGCGCACGCAAAACCCATTAGTCCGCTGAGGACCACGTGTGGCGTTCCCATTCCGGGCGTAAAACGAGCCTCTGTCATCGGCCGGCACCTGAGCTCCGCGACAAACATCGATTTATCGGGGAAACCGTCACACCCGGCCGCCAGGCTGTCTGGCCCGCCGGCAGCAGCTCCTCGACAGATGCAAATGCCGCCCTTTTAACCGGCTGAAGCCGACCAACCAACCGCTGACCGTGTCGGACGTCAGTCGGGCGTGAGTGGAAGGCGACTGAAGGCGACAGCGAAAAGGGGTGGAAGGAGACAGGGCGGGAACGGAACGGAAAAGGTAACTGGAAACTGAACGGAAATGGCATGGGAACGGAGAGAAAATAGATCGGAGACGGAGATGGAGACGGGAATACGGGATAAAGGCGGTAAGACAGAGACGGGATGGAGACGGAACGGGACAGAGACGGAACAAAACATGACAGAGAAAGAGAGGCGGTACAGAGCCGAAATGAAGACAAAATGAGAACGAAGGGCGACGAAAAGAAAGCAAACGGACAAAGGCAGGACACAAAACGGACGAGGTTGGTCGGAACGTGACCGCCAAGCAGCTAAGGCTGGATAAAAGGGAGCCAAGTGCAGCACATCAGTAAGGGTGTTCGTCACGGTATTCTGACGGTAAGCTGCACAGCGTATGGGCGGGCAGGGATAATGGGGCGGGAGGCGGGGAAATTTTTGTGAAGCGTGGGTGATGGCCTGGTGAGTTGTGTGCGTCTGAGATGCTCAAAAGAGGAGGCATGGTGAGAAGCATGTCGACTGTGCGACCTAAGATATTATACAGACAGGATGAGTAGTATATAACATCATTTAGAAATATGAAGAGCTGAAATTACACACCAGAGAATTGAATGTACAAAATGTGTGATACACGGAAAATTCAGCAAAAACATCAATAGAATCAATGAATTGCGCAGACACGTAGTCGATGTTATCTCAACCAGCTACGCTCATGAGCCACCCGCCCTGTTTGCCCACAAATCGCCATGGAGTGACGCTTAGTCACATCACACTGATGTGGGCCCCGCAGACCAGGTCAAGGCCGCCCCCCATCTCGCTCACGGCACTGCCGATGCGTTTGCCCTCATGTCACCAGCTCTGCGCGACGGCCCAGTTCGGGTCTGTTGGGCGTTCAAACAGCACTGATGGTCCATCGACCAAAAACAAACCCCACTGCCCCGTATTGGCCGGCCTTGGACAGAGGCACACACGCAGCAATTCACGTCACTCGGCGCACAGGTGGCCGGTCGCAGCGCTCAGCTGTTTAGAGAGCGCAAATTGCCTCTGTGCTGCCCGCCCCTATGTGCGTTGCTGACTGTGTGTGTATGGGAGTGTTGTCAAGGTGACACAAGGTCACTTGTTTGTTCGCACAACAGCGTGATGCAGCAATTCTGCACAGTAGCGACAGCCGCTTGTAATAAATATTTCGGTACATCCAGTCTTGCCGTAGACGCATGCCCAAAGAAAAGAAAACTAAAAGTAGAGATGGGGAGCCTTTGAGTGATCCAATGCGAAAACCTGAACAAAGCGCCCCAGTCAAACCCGTCCTAAGAAAGGTTTCGCACTGGATGCCATACATCAGTTTTCATGTAACAAACAGCTTAGGCCAGACGGATAGCTTTCCTATGTGACAGCCGAGCAGCCTATAACTCCCGACCAGCGACCATTCACGCCACAACACAATGGTCACCAGAACATGTCTCGTATTTCCGGTGAATGGACCCGGTTTTTCGCCCTGCACGAACGTTCGCGAAACGCGCTAATGATCACCGTCTAAAGGCCTCTCCTCACGAAACCGGGGCCGCAGAATGGCACATAAAAGCCTCCCGCTGGCTAAAAACGTCCGCCGCCACCGCGAGGGATTTTGAACTGACCGAGCTCTAACTGGCGCGGCAGTCCGTGCCTCCCGACCGCAGCGATCGGGCTCGGCGGTGTTCCGTTTCGGGCGAACTGCACCGGATGCCTCCCATCTGGTAGCGCCGGTGCTCTCAGGCCGCCTCTGATTCATCGGTGCTCACTGCACCGACTAATCGGATAATGGCAGCCAATCGAGCGCGAGCCCGGTGACAGATGCGACGCGGTGTGCGCCAGATTCACCCGTCCCGCGCGCCGCCGGCCCACTGGGGCATCACGACCGGCCGTGTCACAACATCCGCCGCCTCCGGCTACGGTGGGTCACCTGATTCAAGCGGCGCGGCGCGCTCACTTCCGGCTTCCATGTGAACACGCCGCGCGCACGCCGCCGAGCGTCGCCGTGCGCTGCGAACGCCGCCGCCGCACGTCACACCGGTCATAGCACGTCCGGCCGTTGGCGTTGGCCGTGATTGCCCCCCGGGCGGCGGGTGACTGTGCTCGGAACGCTGTGGTCACTTTCGTGGTCATGTCCGGCCAGCTTCCACTGATCACCGAGCCGCCATGCAGGTAGCATCAAGGAGCCAGGCCATCGCTAAGCGACATTTTTAATGTAACCAATGTCCATGCCATCACTTGTACAGTCTGTCTTAAAAGTACCGCGCAAAGTGACGGTGGATCCATCAAGCCTGACCGATGAAGGACTGCCAAATTTGAGTCACCGAAGCAATGGACATCCTCGTCCATTCCCCAGCTCCATTGGTTCGGTGACTTTCAAATTATAGCAGGCCCTTCCTCGGTCAGGCTTGATGGATCCACCGTCACTTTGCGCGGTACTTTTAAGACAGACTGTACACTGACGTGACCGTCATGAGAAGGGCTGCAGCCCAAGGTGGCAGTAGATCGACTCTGGAAAGGCCGATACGGCCGCGGGAAAGTCGCACCCGTCGCCACGCCAGTCCGTGTTCGTGGGCGGGTGAAAGTCTTGTGACGCCCGTGCCGGCCCTAATGAGATACATCAGGTCGCCGTGCTGATTATGTGCCCTGCATCAGTGATAACGGATGGCGAACGGTCTCCCTGCAAAGACTGGCGACATCAGCCAGTGAACGCCCATAACGTCCAAGCGCCACTAATAATTTCGGATACATAACCGCTAGGCGTTGCATAGAAAATGGCTGCGGTATCCTGAATTACCCATTACAATCGAGCCAACGCACTTCGTGTCCACCGTGGTAGTACCTATCCGTTGTCGAGCGATGGTGTCTAAGCAGCGATGGTGTCTATTCTGACCTAAAAACGTTACTTGGGCACTAAAGCCCCTGAACCCGTGCATCATTTTGGCACTGCCTTGCACATCATACACGTAAAAGTATAAGGTATGCATCTATAGTTAACCTTTTATTTAATCATATATAACAAAACAAAATACGCTGTACTCAGGGACAAAGGACAGCAGAACAAAACTTCGACCTCCCAGTTCCAACATGGCGGTCATCTCAGTTTTCATCGGATCCAGAACCGCTACCCTCACTTCCCTCTTCCTCTTCTCCGAGCTCATCCAGGTTTTTCTTCTTCTTTCGTCGTTTCATGAGGAGCAGACACAGAAGACAGAGGAGCAGCAGCGCTGCGACGGCTCCGATGATGGCGGCCATGCCGCC